TTCAGTTGAGGGCATCCGTGATCTACGCATAAGCCGTTTCGTCTCCTTAGAGTGAGTAGGCACCCTTGAGTATAATGGTAGTGTTATAACCAGTAAGTTCGATTACGTTTAGCGGTGAGCATGTCGATGGTGCAGTCGTCCCGGTCGGAGCAGGGCCGCTGCTGCAGCAGCTCCACGGCGGCGGCGCACGCGGNTCTAGAACTGAGCTGCTTCAGTTGAGGGCATCCGTGATCTACGCATAAGCCGTTTCGTCTCCTTAGAGTGAGTAGGCACCCTTGAGTATAATGGTAGTGTTATAACCAGTAAGTTCGATTACGTTTAGCGGTGAGCATGTCGATGGTGCAGTCGTCCCGGTCGGAGCAGGGCCGCTGCTGCAGCAGCTCCACGGCGGCGGCGCACGCGGCCTGCTGGTCGGCCGGCACCAGCAGCAGCCGCGTGCGGAAGCGCACCCCGCGCCCGCACGACGCCGAGCACGGCGACCAGCCCGACCACGCCGACGTGGGGCAGCGCGGGTCCGCCGCCGCCGCCGCCTCCTCCTCCGCGCACGCCGGCTCCATGCACTTGCGGTTCTCTTCTGCAACGGACATTGTGGACTACTTGCCATATACAAACATCAGGATACGGATTGTTTTCTTAAAATAGAAACTAAAGAAAAAAATACTAGATATCGTTGATAATTTAAATCGTGGAAAATGCGTCATACTTATTGTCCCACCGTTTTGTAAGAGCAGTCACTCCTTAAAGTCCTTAACCTCCACGCCGCCGGCGCTATGTAAACCTAATAGAACTGCTGTGTGTAGGTATCTGCACGCACCGATCTGCACAAGCGGACATTTCTTCAGTCCCATGTGGTTGACGAACTGTCGTCTCCTGGTGCTGATGCCGACGCCGCACGTGACGGAGCACTCACTCCACGAGCCCCAGTCGTAGGTCTTGCACACTCCGTCCAAGTCCTCCACCGGAGCGCCCACGCTGTCGGCCTCCGAGTCGCCTTCGCCGTCACCGCTAGAACAAACAGCATTGATGATTCAACTTCTATACTAATATCTACAGTGGTTTTTACGGATGTTCCGTTATAACTACTGAACCATGCATCCGATTGACTTGAAACTTAGTATCCCTGTAGAAAATACATGTACTTAATGGATAGGCTAATATTTATATGAGTGTTGGACTCCCTACACCAGTTGCGGGAGCGTTAATGATGAGAATCTTTGTGGGGGTGAGAAATAATAATGTTAATTTTAAATGCCCAGCGAAGCGGACGGGTACAGCTAGTTGTTTATAAATATACGAACAGAAATTAAATTGACATGCAGTGTGAAGTTAGTCCACGCGCGGGGTTCACCTGACCCGAATGAACAGTCGTCATATCGTGCAAGAGTGGTAGGGCGGCGGACTCACTCGCACTCGGCGACGGGCGCGACGCACATCTCCTTGGAGACGAGCTGGCGGTCGCAGGAGAACATGCGCGCCTTGTCGGGCAGGCGGTACTGGCGCGTCCTCATGCGGAGCCCCTTGCCGCAGCTCACGGAGCACTCCGACCACGCGCTCCACTCCGTCACCGCACATTGCGCTGCCGAACACACCCTTCATTATTCTAACATCGTGATATACGGCCGGTCCNTGTGTTACAGGTACCAGATAACGGATATAAATGTAAGATTTTTATTATACACATACATATATTTAATATACATCCATAACCCTGGAAAAGACATTTATATTTATCATACAAATATCTTCCCTTGGCGGGATTCGAACCCGCGACCCCCTTGTGTAATGACCATGTCACTAACCACTACACCAGACGGCCGTTGAATATACATATATACTTAGTCTGGCCATAAATACCGTTACAATTAAAAATAAACAAAATATTACATTTCAATTTGGAATCTGTCATTTTTATATGATTGCTCATTGAGTTTTCTCATTTTGGCGCCAATACATTGTACGATATTTTGCGATATTAAAATGGAGTGGGGTGATAAAGAGAACCGAATCGCTGTGATTGCATTACACAAATTGGTATGGAGCCAAATGCTATTTTTAGAACTCTCCATACGCTTAGTATTAGTAAAATGTTTATGTACCGGGCTATTAATAGCTGCAATGAGACCTCCTCTGTTTGTGACAGAAAAAAAATCTGGCCGTCCACGTAGTGTTCGTACGAAAAAGGTGGTCAAAGCAGTAACGGAAAGAATTCGAAGAAATCCTGTCCGAAAGCAAAAGATTTTATCTCGGGAGATGAAGATAGCACCTAGAACCATGTCGCGTATTTTAAAAGATGACTTAGGACTTGCAGCCTATAAGAGACGTACTGTTCATTTCTTAACTGATAATTTAAAAGAGAATAGGGTGGTAAAATCGAAACAACTACTGAAGCGGTACGCAAAGGGAGGTCATAGAAAAATTTTGTTTACGGATGAGAAAGTTTTTACAATTGAGCAACATTTTAACTAACAAAATTACCGCATTTATGTTCAAAGCTCTAAGGAAGCTTCCCAATTAGTCGACAGAGTGCAACGTGGGCACTATATCTAGTTTTAGAGAGTACGGCTTGCTCTAAACGCCATGATAATTTGGAGTCCCTAAAACAATCCGTACGATTGGCAGGAAAAAAAATTCACTTCGAATAAGCTTTATATACTTTAAATTGTTTTATATTTATGTATTAAACTAACACACTGTAAAAGTAATAAATGTTATTTGCAATAGATTTTTTTATTTTTAATTGTAACAGTATTTATGGCAAGACTAGGTATATATATTTATTTAAGTACAAGTATTTGTATCTATAAACATTATGTATGCTATATATTTAACGGCCGTCTGGTGTAGTGGTAAGTGACATGGTCACTACACAAGGGGGTCGCGGGTTCGAATCCCGCCAAGGGAAGGTATTTCTATGATAAATATAAATGTATTTTCCAGGGTTATGGATGTATATTAAATATATGTATGTGTATAATAAAAATCTTACATTTATTTCCGTTATCTGGTACCTGTAACACAAGTTCTTTACGAACTTATCACGGGACCAGTTAACGTGGCGTGACTGTTAGTAAATATTTATTTATATTTATTAGTTATATTTATGATTATCATATATACAAATGTTTAAGTAGTATCACTATAACACTACACCTACCAAGGTTCATCTCTGCACCGCCCTAAGATAGACTGTGAAAGAATGCCAATGGCATTAAGTCCGCCTTTATACTGTCAAGTATATCAAGCTATAAATGAATTATATATATACATACAGAGTGTCCCAAAATTCATGGGGATATGTTCACATTTGTAACCACAATATCTAATCATAGGGTGTAGGGTATGAAATTATAACATTTTTCAAAAAAGTTAATGTAACTTTGGAAAAGAAAGAGCTGAATTTTTTATTTTATTTTTCCATGGGTAGTTATTGACTCGACCACACACCGGTACCAGCTTATCGTTTAATTTTGGGACACCCTGTATATAAATAGTATGGAATACTCTAAAAGTGGTTAAACAATAATAAAAGACTTAATTGCGTTTTCTGTACAATATTAAGAAAACAACATTAAAAGCTTTTACTTTTTACAAATTATTTTAAACAGTACATAATATTATTGAATGAAATAAAACTGAATTTTTTTTCAACGACAGAGAGTTCAGTCAATCTATATCTAAGAAAAAATCCTTTTTTTATAAAAACTAAAAAGGTTTTATTCGCATATAAAAATTACATAAAAAAGGTCTTTCTTTATTTATTTTATTTTATTTATTACACTTCATGTAAAATTTACATTGGCGGACTTAATGCCTAAAGCATTCTCTACCAGTCAACCAAAGGTAGTGCAGAGTAAATAGTGGTAGGTGCAATGAAATTTATATTAGGTTACGAATACATACAAAAAAAAGCATATCTACATATGTACAAAATCACATACACATATACATACATACATACTTATATACACACATATATACATATAATAGTTCATACAGTATTAAAAGGAATATTCTTTACTAAGGAATTTCTTTACATACATATTTTAAATAAATGTTTTTTTTTTATCTGATCTCGTCTCGTGCTATCTATCGATAAATCTCAGTGACCAGACAAAAAATCGATTCAATCGATAAATCAATTCAACAAATGATTACGAAAAATAAAATAAAAACCAACATAATATAATAAAAAAATTAAAATATTAAACTCATATATTATTACTCTAATCATGGGGCATGATTACCTAATGAATGCACGAGGAGAGAGTCGTCAGAGAAAAGTGGCGTCGTGCTGTGAAGCTTCCCATCAACAGCTGATGATAAGTGATGACCACTACCACTCTGTCAAGAGTGATACAGATAAAGAAAATACGTACAGCATAATATGAATTATCTTTCCTTGCTTAAATGCTTTAACCTACTATTCCTATGCTTTAACCTGAGATTAGTCTTTTCCTATTTACGTAAATAATTTTAAGCTATTTTATTCATTTATTGCATAGATGGGTGGACGAGCTCACAGCCTATCTAGTGTTAAGTGGTTACCGGAGCCCATAGACATCTATAAAGTAGACGCCGTCACCCACCTTGAGACATGAGTTCTAAGGCCTCAGTATAGCTACCCCACCCTTCAAACCGAAACGAATTACTGCTTCCCGGCAGATATTTTTTTTATTGCTTAGATGGGTGGACGATCTCACAGCCCACCTAGTGTTAAGTGGTTACTGGAGCCCATGGACATCTACAACGTAAATGAGCCACCCACCTTGAGATATAAGTTCTAAAATCTCAGTATAGTTACAACGGCTGCCCTACCCTTCAAACCGAAACGCATAATAACTGCTTCACGGCAGAAACAGGCAGGGTGGTGGTACCTACCCGTGCGGACTCACAAAAGGTCCTGCCACCAGTAACAACACATCAATGCAGTACATCAATTTAAATCCACCGAATATCTGATACAATATGTAGCTCACGATTTATTTGACGTTTTTTTTCAGATTTACCCACCAGGCTTGCGTAGACAACTGAATTGGCTCAAGAATCGGTATGGTGACATCCAGTTCATGATCACGGAAACTGGATACGCTAGCTACCAAATTCACGGGCTTAATGATGATGGGAGAATAAACTTTATTAAGGACTATCTTAATGAGGTGATTTACATTGCTTTTAAAACTGTGCCAATCGAGCTCATTAATCTTCACTGCCTATAAGCCTAAGTTAAATTTATTAACTATAGTATTATTATTATAATGCGAATTCGAACTAATGCGAATATTGCGATGGATTTGTGGAGTAACGAGAATGGATAGAATACCGAATGAATATGTTAGAGGAAGTCTGAAAGTGGCACCTGTGACAGAGAAGCTGAGAAGTGCGCGTTTGGGATGGTATGGACATGTGATGAGACGAAATGAAAATGAAGTTGGTAAGAAAATGTTAACTTTGAATGTGGAAGGATATAGAGGAAGAGGTAGACCTAAGAAGAAATGGATAGATTGCGTGAAAGACGATATGGGTAAGAGGCGAGTGAGCGAAGAAATGGTATATGATAGAAGAGTATGGAAGGAGAAAACATGTTGCGCTGACCCCAGGTGACTAAGAGAAGGGCAGGATAATGATAATTATGAATAAGTATTTTTATTATAACTACTAGCAGACCCGGCCACACGTTGCTGTCGCTAAGGTTTTTCTTTCTAAATAACACGTGGCCGCCTATGCTAATACCAAAAATTAACAAAGTAAGAACAATTGGATTTCACTGTATTGCGTTTACTACGAAATAAATTTCACTTATAATTTAGTCTCAGCAACGCGTGGTGTTTATGCCATTAAATTGTAGCTTATGTGAAACGTTGGTATTTTTAAAACAGCGCCATCTATAAGATATTAGTGACAGACAGTATTACAATTGTCTGTAAAAACTGATTTAAGGCGCCATCTGTTTTAGACTTATGAAACTTACAATAATTAAGAGCAGTAATCATCATAAGAAATCATTTTAGTGTTAATTAATAAATGTTGCGATCATTAATCGAAATAAAAACCACCGTATGGCCTAAGTTGGAACAAAATACATATTTAAAAAAAAGTTAAAATCAGTTCAGCAGTTTAGGTGGCCATCGCGGACAAACAACGTGACACGTAATATATAGATTTTAAGATTAAGATTTAGTTAGAACTATAATGAGACCTTAGAACTCATTTCTCAAGGTGAGTTTCGGCATTTAGGTTGTAAATGTCTATGGGCTCCAGTAACCACTTAACACCGGGTGGGCTATGAGCTCGTCCATACATCTAAGCAATAGAAAAATAAATTATAAATAATTTATTAATGTTAATGAACATGCTGGTTGGAACGAGATGACTTGACAGAGAATCAAAGTAATTGACATAGCACAGGGGCTTAGTAAGCTGAAGTGGCAATGAGCATAGTAACCGGAGAACCAATAGCCGTTGGGGTAAGCTTGTTCTTGAGTGGAGACCACGAATTGGCAAACGTAATGTAGGACTCCTTCAGGCTAAGTTGAGTGACGAAGAACTGGATGAAAGAAGCTGATAATCGTGCGCAATGGCGTACAATTGCAGAGACTAATATGTGATGAACTGCTATAAGCTGTTAATATTGATCATGATGGCTCTTGGATGGACGCTTGGAAGACAAAGTCAACTCTTCTATTAAGAAAATCCCGAGAACAACCTGACTCTTATTTATTTTTTGCCGCGTTAAAACAATGTATAGACAAAGAAGAGATATTGGATAATGACAGAAAAACAATAAATCGAAATGGGCGGATGCATGGGCCGCTAACAATATAAATTAATTAATATAAATTAAGACTGTATTTATGACTTAGAACACTCATAAAACTTCACTAACACTTTAAAACTCTCAATTCGCTTCTTCCGCTTCACTTCAGGTGATCCGTTCGCTGTTTCGCTTCGAGTAATTCCGATTACTAACCGACTGCGTGCTATCCCTGCAACGCTTTTATAGCCGATACCTCATCCCCAGAATTATCGAGAATATTCCACACTTCTCTAGTATTGTGTTTCCGCTATCTGACAATAGATGGCGTTGTACTTCTCGAGCGTTCTAGGTGCTACTAGAGCCTTCGATAATCGTTCGACTATTCGGCGATAGTTGGCGTTACTTTTACCGGCGTAACACTATCATACATGATTTTGGATTTTCGGCTCCGCCCATCTTTGCTACTAAAGAGCGTTTTCTATATAAACATACATGTGGGTCTTGGTCTAAATAAAATCACAAGATTTTATGATGAATAAACAATTTCTTGTTCAGTTCTTATTGTCGGTATATAATAAATAATCTTGTATCGTCCCAAAAAAAAAGGCTTAAGGGTAGAGGTCCCAAACGATGGTCGTACCAAATAGCGGAGGAACTGAAAATACCTGTCAACGACGCACTCCACCTAGCTACAGAACGGGATCGGTGGAGACAGCTGGTTGACGGAATCAAACAGAGTCACGATCCTCAGCAATGAAGGACCGATGGAAGAGAGAGAGAGAGTATCGTTCCAAACGGAAATCGTAATCCGAGTATCTGTCCGGTCAAACAATGCTCATTCCTATTGGATTTCCATATACATATATTATAGACTAGCGGCCCGCTCTGGCTCCGCTCGGGTCTTTAACAAAAATTTCCACGATATTTGATTTATTTGTTTGATTTATTTGTTTTCTTTTAATTTTTTTAATAAAAGAACACTTAATGCGGCATAACTATAATAGTTAGAGATATGCTATCATCAATAGTTTTCGCAGGGCACGCGATGCAAAGAATATTTTAAGTAATTTTTTTACACCTTGGGTTACATTATTGGAGTTTTAGTAAGGATCCCTAATTTTTTTCAAAAAAGATTATAGCCTATGTCGCTCGGGAATAGTGAAGCTTCCAAACAGTGAAAGAAATTTTCAAATCGGTTCAGTAGATTCGGAGTCTATTCAATACAAACAAACAAATCTTTTCTCTTTATAATATTAGTATAGAAAAGTCGATGTATGCATACACCCCACCCCACCCCATAGACACCAAAACGGCTGGACTGATTTCGATGAAATTTTCAGGAAATTTTCAGAATGGCCTAGCGTCTAGTCCCTTGAAGTTTGGTAGCAATCAGGTGAAACTCAAAACCAAGATCGGCTAGAAAACCGGGCCGAGTTTGACTACTAAAGATAAACGTTGGATGTATGTTTTTATAATTAAATTTGTTTCAGGTTCTGTTGGCAATTTACGAAGATAAGATAAATGTCACCGGCTACACAGTTTGGAGTCTGATGGATAGCTATGAATGGGCGTCTGGGTACACGTGAGTAACGACTATGTTTCGTTTGACTGATGGTAGGACCCCGTGTGATACATTTAATATTTCTACGTTCAATCCATATTTTATTCCTGCTAGATTAATTTCAATTTTAGTCTTTTAAACCTTCAAAATTATTTTAACTACAAGCCTTTTCTCATTAATTTAGTGCTATAGATATGTGCCAATTTGCTGCCAATCATTTTACGGTTGTCAAAAATTAAGGCATCTTTTATCTACGCCAGCCAAAAGAACATACGGAATCAAACATCTTTTTTTTTTGTTACAGGGCTAAATACGGACTATACCAAGTCGATTTTGAGTCGCCAAACAAGACTCGAACTCCGAGAAAATCTGCAAAATATTACGCTGACCTGATAAAGAATCGTGCTCTATTGTAATAATAAATACTTATTGTCTATTAAAAATACATTTCTAAAAATATCAATAGTTCTTTTTTTTATTTAATTTGTATTCGGACAAAATTTATTTAAAAAAATTCAATGTGCTGAGATGACTTATGTTACGTGTTAACTCTCAGACACAGCCCACTGAGTTTCTCGCCGGATCTTCTCAGTGGGTCGCGATTCCGATCCGGTGGTAGATTCTGCGAAGCACGACTCTTGCTAGGGTTCGTGTTAGCATCGTCGTCTGGTTTGAGCCCCGTGAGCTCACCTTCTAGTTACGGTTACGCTGGAATAGCCGCTCCAGGCCACCAGCTTGGCTCTGCCCCTGGCATTGCTGAAGTCCATGGGCGACGGTAACCACTCACCATCAGGTGGGCCGTATGCTCGTCTACCTACAAGGGCAATAAAAAAAGGGTACTTGGATTGGGACCAAGATACTTGGTTAGATAAACAGTTTAGAATAAAACTGGTTCTACAAATGTTCTACTGGCCCACCTCAATACCACCAACCATTTCAGGACATTTTTTCGAACTTTTAGAAGAAGAAGACGAAGAATTACACAAATTCAATTATTCTACATTTAAATCGTATTATTTTGATTTATTATTACTCCTGAATGTATATCAAAATATCCTATTCATATAGATACATAAAACAGTATATTGATTCCTGTATCTATACTAATATATAAATCTACAGTGGTTTTTACGGATGTTCCGTTATAACTACTGAACCGTGCATCCGATTGACTTGAAACTTGATATCCATGTAGAAAATACATGTACTTAATGGATAGGCTAGTATTTATATGAGTGTTGGACTCCCTCATAATAATAATGTCAATAAATAATAATGTTAATTTTAAATGTCCAGCGAAGTGGGCGAGTACGGCTAGTAATATATAAAGGTATAATAGTGTGAAAAAAATTACTATTAACGCAGTTTACCGAGACGGCCGACATTTCAGAGCCTTCGATTCGCCTCGAAGGCTCCGTCGGCTGGGCGTCCTTGGGGTGAGCCGCGCCGTCTGGTTGTAGTGTTGACCGCGATAGCCCCCCTACCTCATCCGGGCTCTGACCTCGGAGGGGATCGGACGTCGGGTGTAAGAGTGCAGGGGAGTCGTTTAGTGGGTGGGCCCTAAAATCCTTGGGCCCGCGGTCTGCTCACAACACCATGCAGATCGTTGAGTCTCACATACCCCGCGCGCCCCTTTTACGCGGGGACCTCGTAGGAGGTTCGGCCCCAACCCGAAAAAAAAAAAAAAAAAACAGGCCCACTGAGTTTCTCGCCGGATCTTCGGCAGTTGATATTGGCTTGCGTATTCAAAAGTGACGAAAATCACTCGCCATTGTCTTCTGATGAATGACCAAACTAGCATTGTATATATTGTATTGCATAATCATAAAAGATTTAACTAATTGGGAGTACGACTTTTAACAACCAAACCAGGTTTTTTTCGTAAGAAACACAAATGCATCCAGAACTCGATCGCGAAAAGTCTTGAACGAAGGCAATCTTTTTTTCTCCTACCAACGCCGAAAGTGCGGTTTTCGTCCCGCTGTACAGGGAAGAAAGTGTAACTTTTCCTCCCTGGGTACTGACAAGTGCGCATGCGCGTTAGTGCCTACGTCTGCTCTCACGCACCTAAAATTCTCCGCCATTGTTGTGCTCGGGTAATTTGCAATATTATGTTTAGTGTAAAAGTGAAATAAACAAAAGGCAATCAAATTTAATAGTGAAGTATTAAACAAAGATGAGTTCATCAGACAGTTCTTATTCAATTAGTAGTAGTTTATTTAAAAATTAAAAAACAATTGATTTTTTATGAGTACTCCACGGGTGCTAAGTTTTTCTACAATGTCAGACTTTCGGCCTGGTAGAAGAAAAAATAGTATGTGCACCACGAAGGCTCGGGTGGCAATTTTACACGCGGGATGAGATGTACAACTTTTCTCCCTTGATGCACAATGTACTATTAACTACGTAGGGTAGGCTCACAAACAAGTCTACAATCCGACCATCAGACTAAATTTAATCTACTAAAACAAATAGAAATAGTTTTTATTTCAAGAGAGTCATAAAAATTTACGAAGCAGTCCGTCGACTTTTTTATTCTTAAATCGACACGTACTCATTATTTATTACTTTTAAACACCGATCAAAGTATTTATGTATCGGAAACATTAAAAATATACGCTCCGAAATGAGAAATATTGTTTATTTTCAACACTCCATAGAAACTGGTGGTAGGACCTCTTGTGAGTCCGCGCGGGTGGGTACCACCACCCTGTCTATTTCTGTCGTGAAGCAGAAATGCGTTTCGGTTTGAAGGGTGGGGCAGCCGTTGTGACTATACTTGAGACCTTAGAACTTATATCTCAAGGTTGGTGGCGCATTTACGTTGTGGATGTCTATGGGCTCCAGTAACCACTTAACACCAGGTGGGCTGTGAGCTCGTCCACTCATACCAGCAATAAATAAAAAAACCATCAAAAAAAATGAATGCAATAGAATTGAGGTGTCGACCAATTAACGTGCATGCAAGAGCAGCTGCTTCGCGAATGAATCTACTACCGGATCGGATTCGCGACCCGCTGAGTACGGTCACCGGGGTCCCTAAGCCTGCTCTTAGTGTTAGAGCTGAAGGCGACTAATGCAAAGGTTATTGGATCTGATGGATCCGTAAGGACGTGTGTTCTTATATTGTATAAAGGCGCAACTGATTACTGAAACCAAAATACACCTTAAAACCTCTAAACATTGAAGTTTAAATTGCATTCAAATAGCTGTGGCAGATATTACCATTTCTTCTCATCTTTTTGACAATACTTAGAACTGTCAATAGGATACTTAGAACTGACTAATCTTACTACGCTTCTAAAATAGTCCTAGTTAATGTGACTCAATAAAAAATGACACAAAATGAGATTATTAAATTAAAAACTAAGCATTTTGCAATACGAAAACAGACAAACTTACTGCTCACCTAATGATGACTGGTCATTACGGCATAGACATCAACAAAGTCAAGGGCAGAGCTCCTAACCCGTGTCAAAGCAAAAATCAACATTAATTCAGCGGTTTTAGGTTTAATTTTGTAACATGATCCAAGAGACCAACGGCCAAGATTCAATACGTAGGTACTTTCAATACGTACAACAATATTAAACTCAAAATGATGAATGTTAAGCTAGGTACTTGGACATTTGCATAATTTATTTGGACGTTCTTATTTTTCTCATTAGATCAATGAACGAGATCTCACTAAAATCACTCACTCACTATAGTCAATAGCCGGTTAACTGAACTCGGATGATTTCTACTCAAATCCGTCCCGGGAAGGCGTCCCGCCAATCTGTGCAAAATTCTGTAGAGCGGTTGTAGTACCAGAGAGCAGAGTAAGTCCTCGGCAATAGGCTGCGGCTTGGCTGTGCCCCTAATATTGTCCATGAGCGTAAGTAACTATTTACCATCACGTGGGCCATACCCTGTCCCGCCGTCTCAATAGCCCCGATTGGGCTCCGGTCCGGTCTAGGGTAGGGCGCTGGCTAGGCGGCTGTGAGCGGCAGGAGTTTTAAGTGAGGTTCAACTCCCACATACCCCACCTGCTGCGCGGGTGGGTATCCGGCGAATTTCTCTTGTGGAAGAAAAATTATCACATGGGCTATAAGAACGTTTACCTACCGTGGCAATAAAAGAAGCAAAAAAAACAACCTACTGGTCTATCTATACTAATATTATAAAGAGGAAAGATTTGTTTCTTTGTTTGTTTCGAATAGGCTCCGAAACTACTGGACCGATTTGAAAAATTCATTTTCCATTAGAAGCCGACATTGTCCCTGATGAACATAGGCTACTTTTTTTTTTATTTTTTATTTTTTTATTTTTTTGGTTTCATGTGTGTTTTAATGTTTCCGAAGCGAAGCGAGAGCGGGTCGCTAGTTTAGTGATAAAATGTGATGCGCGCATAAACAACACAACGTCGCGTCGGTAAGTCCAATCACCGTGTCGCAGGTCGGATTTATAAACAAAATTTCCGGTAACATTTCGTTTCGTCGTATTGGAATTTTATCGTAATTACCTAAACTCAAACTTTATGTGCGACGCTTGGAACATATAAAACGGAAGGCGTTGAATCTTTTTGTACTCCTGTCGGCGAAATGTTCGCCGCTTACGTTTTGTGGTAAGTTTTCTTTATAATTTGAATTTTATTACCGGTGGATATGTAAATAAGAAACACGCGCGATCGATTAAAATCGTGGAGGTGCATATTGCGAGTCCACGTGTTTGTGAGGCAACAACTTGCCTATTTCTGCCACAAAGCAGTCACGGGTTTCCGTACGAAAAGTAAACTATTCACTCGTGAGCTAAACACCACACAGGTAAGTCTATTCGACATTGTAAAGCAGTTTATAACATACATTATTTCTTTCCGTTTAACTGGTGGTAGTATATTACTGGTGGTAGGACCTCTTGTGAGTCCGCACGGGTACGTACCACAGCCCTGCCTATTTCTGCCGTGAAGCAGTAATGCGTTTCGGTTTGAAGGGTGGGGCAGCCGTTGTAACTGTACTGAGACCTTAGTACTTATATCTCAAGGTGTGTGGCGCATTTGCGTTGTAGATGTCTATGGGCTCCAGTAACCATAATATCAGGTGGGCTGTGAGCTCGTCCACACACCTAAGCAATAAAAAAAATAAAAAAAGTTTTCAAGAAATCACTTAGGTAACCTAAATTTAAATTTCAATGAAAATCAGAACTAGTATCAAAACTCGGGCATATTCATTTATTTATCAAAGCGATTTTGTTAGTTTGGTATATATACATATATGTTTGTCGGTATGTAATGAATTCTTTGAACGTCATTTGGAGTTTGGAGAGTCTTCAAAACGCTGAATAATTTGAAAACGTTGCACACACACGCCTCGAGAACCGCTTACGTTACAATAATGTTACAACTTCGCTCTAATATCCGGGTCAGTATCAACAGGAT